TCTCAAACCCCGACTCCTTGGACTTATGCCAATGGCTCTCCGCACATCCTTACTACCTCCGAATGCATCCAACCCCCACGGTTCCCGGCCCGAGTTGAGCTACTCGGCCATGCGGTCGGAATGACTTATCCGCCCAAATAAGTGTTAGGCTGCGTTCAACATGACATGAGGACGTCAACAGATCGGTCCTTAAACGACACGCACGGAGTCACTATGTTCAAACCTACACAAGACTCACCTTGGTCTTAATTCATTATTCACATGGTTCTTTTCCACGATAGCAAATATAGCCAACCGTGATCCACCTCATCCTAAATCTCGCAGTGACAGAATCACCGACTTCTACCGCACTAAGCATGGCTAAGCATTTAACCCGTTCCTCGAACTTAAATAGGATTCCAGTCACGATATATCCGGACAAGGAGGGATATATAATGCAGCAATTGGTTCCAACCAATTCCTATACTTAATGCATCATCAACAATAAAGATACTCAATATATTTGTAAAGACATGGGAGACTTATAATGCTCCGGGCTTGCCTTTCAGGAAAGAGGAAGGTCGGTGATCGTGGCACTCGGGCAACTCCTCGGCGACGGCCGCTTCTTCGACTTCCTCGCACCTCGGGCTCCTCCTCCTGGTTGGCTCCCTCGAACTCCAGCAACGTCACTCCCTCCGCACACCCTATTGCATGAATGCGCAAGATAAATATCATGGATGCACATGTACGAATGTCGTGGATGCTCGGGAATGCACATGTTCATTGTAGTTTGCATATTTCAACTTAAGCCCTATTCAAATCACTTTACTTACCAAGTTTATACAACCTAATGTATAATTGCTCATCTTCAGTTAATGACCTAGCACCTGCACCTAAGCATATTCTCAAGTTAGGCTAACCTCCAAACAATTAACGATTACGTTGCAACACATTCAATCAAGCATGTGTATTTCAGCAATTGAAGACTATATATATATCGGTACATTAAACTAGCCATAACTGGAGATGTATAATTCCAAATGACATGAAACAAGACAATCTGGAAAGCTTATGAAATTGTCTACAATTCATTTTTAGACCTCAAAGCATGATTCAAACCTTTACCAAGTCGAATTCATCAATCAACAGAAGTCTATCCACACAAGGCAGAGAATCAGCAAAAACTGCAACCTAACTTTAAACAGCTGTAGTTTCTAAACTACTGGGCCAAATGCCCTCAAATTTTGACAGGAGCTAGATACATAAGTTACCTACAACTTTTGTATTCAACACAAGCACAGAAAACCACATTATCATGGGGAACTTTCCGAAGTCCCCAGATCTGTCCAGAGGGACATAATGCCAACAAATAATTAGCAACTTATTATGTAAACATATAATTAGACAAAACCAACTTTACTATCTTATCACACATATCCTAAGAACACCAGAAAGTAGGATGTCCATTACCAAAACATTTCGTTTAATACCTTTCTTAATTTATTTAATTAATTAGGGAAATAGTAAACCTATATGAAAACTGCCCCATTAATTCTACAAAATTACAGTAGACACTACATACTCTAAGTAGACTACCATAAAAATTTCACACCATTTGAGCAAGTATAAAAGCCTACACAAAAATGACAAGGCATAATGGCTTAAAATGGCATAATTAGGAAACCCTAATGAAAAGTGTCAAGCAACAGATTTCATATTTTCCCTAGCATCCTTAGGGCACTAGGATACTACCTACCAAGTTTCATGGCCATTGGATTCATAGATTATTTACTAAAATTTACACAAGAATCATCCAATGATAAAAGGAAAATCTATAACTCAAAAACTACACATGCAATGACTCTCAAATTTTAACCAGAGCTTCTACTATACAAGACTAGCTCACCCACAAAATTTCATAATTTTTGGATCACAGAAACTCAAGATATGTTTTAAACAAGTTTGCATGCATTCAAAAACACTTTTCAAGTTCCTATTTAATTCACCCAAAATTTCTACATAATATGCTCAAGATATATTTTTCTTAAATACTAGACCTAACAGTGAGTCTAACAAAATTGGAATCACTCAATTTGGATCTACCAATTAGGAGTTACAAAATCACAAATCAGTATTCAAAACTGAAAATTTGAACTAGCCCTAAGATCGCTTTCACCACCGACACGCGGGACCCGATGTCGGTCGACCCCACCCGTCAGTGAGCCAAAAGCAGAGAGGCGCTTGACGGCGCGGCACACGGCGGCTTCATGCCGCGGCGGCTCCTCCGGCGAAATCAAGGACACCGCGTGACCTCCGTGCCAAGGGGTTCGATTGGTGCTACTAGCTAGCGCCACGACCTAGCGTGAAGGAGCTTGCACCGGTGATGGCGGCACGGCAAGGCTCCGGCGAGAGCCGCGCGACGGCAAGCCACGGTTGACTCCACAGAGCTCGGTACGAGCTCCACGGACACGCTGGGAAACTCAAGGAAGCAACTATCGAGAATGAAATGGCTCCTAGCTAGCTAGCCCGCCACGGCGGCCTCGGCTCGGCGAGGAGGCGTCATCATGGCGGTGGTGGCGGATCAGCCAAATGCGACCAGACCTTGGTTCTCCCAACACAAAGCAAAGAAGGTGTACGAGCTAGAGGAAGCTATGGCGGAGCTATTGGCGGAGGAGCTGGCTAGCTACGGTGCCACGGCGAGCGGCGCGAAACGAGCGGAGCAAAAGGCGGGCTACTGCGGTGCTTTGGGCGGCGGCGGAGGAACGAAGAGGAGGCAGAGCGCGCGGCGGTGAGTGCGGCCGGGCAAAGCGCGCTGGACGGGTTAATGTCACGGCCGCCGCGCCCGATCCATCCATGGCGGCAGCAAGCGCAGACTGAGCGATCGAGACGCGCGGGGCGACACGTGCCGTCGTCGAGTTCTGATTGCAAGATCATCAGCAGCGCTTTCAAAGAATCCAACCATCGACAAATACATTTCGTCAGCGTTAGCACGGTTAACACGTTGCTCCAAAGTGAAATCCGTAAAGATGAAAGTTGTAGATCTATATTAGGGCTACAAATTTGGTTTAGCAATCAACAGCCAGCCTCCACGGATCACGAGTTATATCAAGCCAAAGTTGAGGTCATGCAACCGAAACTCGGTTCAACACTTAGAAATTTTCGAGTTTCTAAAAAGATCTCAAAACTAACTTGTGGGACCTTTTTGAACATGTTGTGCACATTTTCATGAGATGGCTTCTAAACAAAGTTTGTTCCTTATTAAATTTACTACAACTTTGCTTTAGGTTGCTCAAGCATGCGAGACTCTAAGTTACACTTTTAAACAGTCAAACTCGTGGAGCTCTAGGGGTCCAAATTGGTCAACCATGACTTGAAAACCTAATTAGGCAAAATGATCAACATGAACATTGTGCCTAATGACATTCTAAGTATAACTAAGTTACTTACACGCATTTCTAGCCACACCATGCATTGGTCACACAAGAATCAATCAAGGTATACACCGAAACGATGAAAAACACAAGAAATGTTGCAAATGTTTCATAGTCATGTTTCACATATTTCATGATTGTGTTGCATAGCACTAACTAACCTTGTTTTACTAAGTGAGTGGCACATGTTGCACTTAAGCGTTGCACACTTTACATTTCATAAAGAACAACACACATGAAATCTACAACACGTTGCAATGTTTCGAATTTATGTTTCATGTGCTATAAGTTCACAAAGGGATGCATGATGCTCATGTTCATGAAATGCAGTGCAAATGTGGAAGCCAAACACCTGGGGTGTTACTGCTAGCACAAAATGCTATCAGCGCTGTGCTTGGTTTAGTGGGGCGGCGAATAAGCTCCATGGGGTGCCCAGAGGTGGGGCATGCCCCCAACATTAGCCCCTCGGCAACACGTGAAGAGGCTTTTGCCCCTAGTGTGGGTGCCCTTTTCGCCATGGGGCTCGGACACCATCCCTAACGAAGGGTGGAGATCTGTAGCGGTGGTTGTAATGCATTTAATTTTAATTTTATTATTATACACATATATATACATTTATTTATATATATTTTAGGATGATATGGTTAACCATTTTTTGGTTTTTGCGCCATGGTTACCGTTTCTCAGAAGGCGAACCGCCGTGGTAGTTATGCGAACCATCGCGCTAGTTCCTCGATGCTCGCGCCACTTGGTGGGTGCCTATATAAGCCCCCCCCGAGTCAGGAGAGCCGTGCACCTTCATCTCTCTTCCAGGTCTAGCTCGCGAAGCAAATTTTTGCTCTTTGGCTTTTCGCTTGAGTCGATCGGTAGCTTGCTTGCCTCCGCTGCGAAGTCACTCTTCGCCAAGCTCTTCAATAGGTTTGACTTTACTTTTGTTCTATTCGCTTTTTGTGTACTTGTACTGTTTAGTGTTTAGATCTTTTCGCTTCTTTACTATTTTCTAGTTTTTTGGTTTTCGTATGTGATTCGCTTGGATAGATGTGGAGTGAGTCATCGTCTGGCACCAGTTCAACCAGTGGGAGCTCAACTGATGGATCTAGCTTGGAATCTTGCACCCATTCGTGAAGTGGATCCAAACAAGCGATGGCTCGATCGCCGTGTGCATGGGGTGATGGCTTGGCACCGAAGCGTGTTGCTAAAGCTGGCCTAGGTCCTTCGCATGTTGATGCTGGCTAGGAAACCAATACTAATGTGGAGATTGTAGAGGAAGGTGATGAGAGTGAAATCTCTAGACCGGTGTCGGCCGCCGTGAAGGGCCAGCTGGATCTAACTCCGGCCAATTATCATATAGGCTAATCTAGTGTTAATGACACCAAACTGGATAAGTATGTTGAGCAAGGTCTTCTTAAGGCTTCGCTTTGTGGACTATGCCCCGCCCAGAGACCCATGAGGTAGTTGTCTTCCATGACTTTTTTTGAAGCCAGGCTGCGCTTTCCTTGCGAAGACTTCTTGGGCGAAATTCTACAACGGTTCAACCTGTAGATTCATCACTTGACTCCGAATGTCTTTGCACGACTGAGCGTATTCACCATGGTGCTCAAGATGTCTGGGTGTGCCTTGAGCGTCAATACTTTTGCTCATTATTACGAGACCAAACTGCACAAGAAAATGGTCAAGGACAAGCAGACCAAGACCAAAATGGTGGCCCAGTATGGGTCCTACAACTTTGGTCCGAAGAAGACAGAGGACACTGTGTAGATTGTGCTAGTCTACCTGAATAAATGGCCATGGTGGACCAATTATTGGTTCTATCACCACGTATGTTCTGACGAGGATGTGACTGAAGCGTTGATGAACAATTTGCCGAAAAGCATATGCTCGTGTTGGAGATGACTACCTTGAACGGATTTCATCTAGCTGAGGTCATGGCTGATGGACCACATGATACTGAGGCTGCGGATGCCTTTGCTCTAACCTCTCATTTCTAGATCAGCCAAGATTTGGTTGAAGAATGGATAGCTTGTGAGAGTCCGCCGTTGAGTACTGAAACTCAATTTTTTGAGTTCGAGCAGCGAGATGGCTACATGTTCCTAAAGTTGGGCGTTGCACCTTCGAATGCCTTCCCTATGAACTTTAGCTTTGTGAATTTTATAAAGCATAAGGCTAAAGAGATTATTGGATTCTATGGCGATAGGGAGCACAAAGGCAGGTGCCAGTCCTTGGCAAGAAAGAGATGTTTGAACCACGCATTGACAGTAGTTATCATCCACCATAAACCATCAATATAACTTGAAACCATGCATGAAAATGATCATCAACATAGACTTAGGGGTTTAAACTGACAATTTCCATGAGTTTTGGTGAATCTATGTTTTCAGTAGGGTTTATCCAAAAAATCGTCAAGGGGGATCAAAATGTCAAATAAAATCATGCTTATCCATAGCGAAAACAACTCCAGAAGGTTCTAGAGGACACTAGAAGCCACGCCATTGAAGCAAACACAGAGGGGATGATAGGTGGGGCCGGTCGGCCGGTCCCATGTCCCCACATGTTAGCCTCCGCTTCGAAAGTCGGTTCTCCACCGCCTTAAAGGATTGCATCTACGCTGTTTATTCAAGTTGGTTTGATTTGAGGGCTTAGGATTGACACTCCGGCCTATATATGCTAGCCCCTGCTCCCCTCCCTTGGCATCTGCCATAAGTCAAAATCAGATCAGAAATTAGGGTTTCCAGAGAGAAGAGAATAGAGCTCCAATTCTTGAAAGTTCTAGTATAGGCTAGCTAGCAAGATTCAAGTAGAGGTTGGGCTATTGCTCAGGATTCTGGATTTGCCGTCTAGAGGCCGGTATATCCATTGTATCCCTCTTTATTTATGACTTTGTGCTACTTCAATATTATGTTACTATTTATTATGTTCCTAGTTTGCTTTAGTTATATACTTGATATAGTTATGATTGATTATGAATATATGCATATGTTCACAAAACGCTTAGCTCAATACTCGAGTGAGTTAAGTGATCAACATTATGTAAGCGTGGTGCTTAAATATTATTTACCTGTGGATGCATTCTACACTCTGGGTCATATGGTAGATCACATATATGACACTCCCATTGAGTCCTTTGTAGTCCACTCCCCATCTGTAGAGCAAGTAGAACCCTGTTGCGAAGGGAGTCAAGCTCTGTTTGAAACATCCTCAATTTTTCGCGAAGGGAAAATCCACAGAATGAATTATAATATGATGAAACCAATAGTTGATTCCATCATATTATCATATATCAGTCGATATCATAGTCATATATCATAAGATTACATGAATACAAGATATTACATCACTGGGGAACACACCTATTACAGAGTTAATCTAGCGGAAGACTATCGAGTGAAGGCTTCTCCCTCACGGGTCATCATCAGAGTTGGCGTAGTGCAGCGTAGATTCCATCTCCGAACCAAACTTGAGCGTAGGCATGAGACCTCCTAATCCTTCTAAAGTCAGCATCTCTGAGAAGCAGGAAATCTGCACACCGCCAGATGTGTGCAGGCCATGGTCAGCACCGATGAGCTTTAGTGGAAAAAGATAAACAAGGGATCTGGCGATCCTAATATTTGGCTATGGTTTGCATTCTTAGCGCATGAAAAGTAAATAACATTTGTATCATAATAATAATATCCAATTTTTAACACATTCACCACCACACCATCCATATCCATCCACCAACCATCCATCCCAAACCTTCTCCACACCACCACACCTTATCTCATCTCACACACTCAGGTCGACAGACCAACTCCCTCTCGGCCTTGTCTCAACGGTCCGCAGCCCCAAGGCTCACGACCAGAAAATACCCCATCCCTGGAGGGAGAAAAGAAGGACTCATCTCCTATCTAGTTTAAGCGAAACCTAGGAAAGGTCCATAGCTGACAAGTCAGCATATGTATTGATCGATCAACCATACACTCTGCAGAGGTTTCACATACCCACAAGATAGCCATCCTTGACGGTGCCCCGTCTAGGCAGATTCCGGCCACTTGCTAGCCTAGAACGATGCCACCCTACCTCTCAGCCCTGGAACATCCCAAGTCTTAGAATGATGCCACCCTACCTCTCAGCCCTGGAACATCCTAAGTCTAGTCTGGAATGGATGATACTGTGAGTCGTAGATATAGCTGGGGCCCTCCGGATGTCAAGAGCTGGGTCCACAAGGCCTCCTGAAGTCTCGGAAGGGTGTGGGGGAAACCGCGCGCCCCGTACCTCCTTGCACACGTTCACCTAGCAGTAGTGGCATCGCTCTACCAAGTAGTCCGACCGTCCTGCACCATATAGGGTGAGTGGGATGTAAAGGATTCCCGGTGAATCTGAGTACTAGTAAGTCCTTAGGGATTGACCAAGCCAGAATATCTTCATCAAGGTTTCCATTTTACGTGCCACCACAGCACCTCCACCCTGGGCTCCTCCCATCATAGGTTCACACCCAAGGCCACCTCCAATTACCATTTACCCACCACAGGTATTCCATATCCAAGTGCCCAGGTAGCACCACATGGCAAGACTCGCCCTAGGCTCATCGTTATTCCAGCTCGGTCGACACAACCCTCACTCTCCATGCACCCAAGACACACGCAGCACGCTCACACACCACCAAGTCTGGCACCCATAGCCAAACCATTCCCAGGGGGTTCACCACCAGCATCACATCCCCGACATAATGCGAAGTGGAGTTAATAATAAGTATAGTGGTGTAATATGCAAGCAAGCAGGCAAGTAAGCATATATAAGCAAGCGAATGCGCAAGGCAGGGTGATGTGGTAGAGTGGGTTGCATCAGGGTAATAATGGCTCAGGTAGTAGCATGCATCAAAGTACTAGCAAAGGAATAATTTATAAAGCGCTAGCAGTTCTAGATATTATGCAATGTCTAATAGGATTCTCTAAAAGAGGGTGCTGCCATGACACCTGCGATGTAGAGGTAGTAGTGGTACAATTCTCCATTCGTTGGCGTTCCATTAGCGGGGTCTCCTCCTCCTGTGTTGACTCCATTCCGTAGTCCTTGTTGTCGTCCCCGTTCTCTTGATCCGATTGCTAGCTACTCCGCGAAGCGACACGCAAAGCTAGAGAACACTCAACACTCAAAAAGACGACAAGACGCAGGAAGATCCAATAACACCAACGGCACACTAAAAGATTCACAGCTTAGCCCTCTCGGTGGTTGTCCGATTTCCTTGGGCCAAGAAACACAAGAGTGGTGGTTTGCTTATGCACAAGCTTATGCCATGGCCAAGCCAGTACGGCTTTACGATAAACGGTTTAAGCCAGAGCTCATTCATAGCAAACATCATGGCTTGCTGTCTTTCCTTCCGGGTGTCATGGAGATGACGAGAATCGGAAGACAGGCCCAACGGAGGAAGAACGACGGGGTTCAGCTCTTATAGCCTTATCCCACAAGTCACAATTGGACACGAGAAGCAAACAAGAACGAATAACACTATTGTGACTTGGCTCCAATGTACTTTGGCTCACCCGCTATGGTAGGAAGCGGTAGTGCAAAGAGGTTGGACAGCGACGGGTCCTCTCGATCCACACGACACATCAACGTCGAGAGCCAAGGAGACAGTCATTCAACATGGCAAAAGTAGCGGGGTTAGATAGGCATGTCCATGTTATGTTCCCAGACACATCTTCGGGGAAGATGGTTTTTAGACGGTCGATCGGGTCAACACGCACGGGTCCGGGGTACGACATAGACCATAGCTTCGCTAACCCAAAGGGAATAATCCGGTCTTTGATCCAATTGTCATGGGCAAGATGGAATCGAATAGAGCAGGCTATTGGGGCAATAAGAGCAAGAACAACCAAGAGCAAGGTCCACTTCTTCTAACGCACACGCCATGACAAAGACAGGGCATTGGAAGGAGCGACACTCAAGAACACTTAGTGCGTAAGCCACTCGTAGGGTACCCGACCTGGGTGCTGTGGCACTGAGATATCCCTTTGATTCGAAGCGGTGCGGTTGTCACCGCGACAACCAGAGAAACATGATGGTCAAACAGGGTACAAGCATACAAGGGCTTGAGCACAAAGAAGCAACTAAAAGCGAAAGAGAGGCGTAGCTCCATGGTCATGGCGAGGTGAACTCGCGGCCACAAGCTATGCCTATGAGTTGGCATTCATCGTTCCACGATTGTTTACTCCTAGGTTTTCTCCCACAGAACTTGGTCATGGAAGGCTCAAGGCGTGCGGGTGATATCTGCATCGATGTTAGTATCAACATCGAATCCATCACGACCATGTTCTAGGGCCGAAGGCAAGAGCTAACACTCGTGGTACTATGAAGTCAACTAAAAGGTGAGGGGTCGAGTCACACTCAGCATCACGGTCATGGCGAGACGGATCCCGCGATCGTAACGTCCGAACGAGGTTCGAACCCTCAGCCGGCTCGAAGGCTCGGCACACAGGCAACAACACCAACAACCAGCGATATGAACCAAACACGACCGAAAGACAGCAACTCAACATGACTGCGGAGTTGCACATTCCATAGCTAGGTAATGGATAGATCCTGTAAGACAGTCATGGACAGATAGGTCGTAAGAATAGGGCCTGACAAGGTAGATATGCGTATACGGAAAGATGCGAGATGGGGCTTTCCATGGTCTCGATAAGACATACGACTAGGGTTCATGGTCCAGAGGTTATGGTTCGTAGTAGGTGGGGTCATGGTGGTTTCGGCAAGCGAGGCCCTGTGGTTTCGGCAAGCGAGGC